TCTTCAATACCTTACTATAGCTCGAATAACCTCATCTACTCTTCAATACCTTACATAGCTCCATAACCTCATCTTACTTCTTCAATACCTTACATAGCTCAATAACCTCATCTTACTTCTTCAATACCTTACATAGCTCAATAACCTCATCTTACTTCTTCAACACCTTACATAGCTCCATAACCCCACTTTACTTCATGTACCTTACCTAGCTCAATAACCCCATCTTACTTCTTCAATATCTTACCTAGCTTACCTAGTATTTTCTATTGATTGTTCTGCTTCAACCTGGTTACCCTTGACCTCACCCTGAGTATTATGACTGGCACCTTAATTATCCTGTCCCATTTTAGATTCTTGAGCATCTTTGCTTCTTTCCGAGTATCCTGCTTTTTATTTGACCTCCCCTCTCTTATATGTCTTGATTACTTTCTTGAGCATACAACTTGTGCTCTGTATGGCCTTTTAACCCCCTGATTCATAATATGTGTGTCCTATGCAATTCAACTTTTTTATTACAAACCTTTTCTCTTTGGATGCTCTTTCAAGCTTATTGGTACTCTTTCCATGGTTTCATTCCTGATTCTTTAAATGTTTGTTTTGGATTTCACGCAAAGCTACATGAGGGCTATCTGCGCTAGCCATCCCTAATTTAGCAGTGTAAGACTAGAGGGAAGGCAGCTAGTCATCACCACCCACCGCCAACTTTTGTGCTACTCTTTTACCAACGAATAGTGGGATTGACCGTAACATTATAATGCCCCCACAGCTGAAAGGGTGAGCATGTTTGGTGTGAGGGGGATTCGAACCTGCAACCCACAGATAGCGAGTCAAGCGCCCTAACCACCTGGCCTTCTTTAAATGTATAACAGCTTTTAGAACTTCCTGCTCAGAGGTACTCCTTGAGTACCTCACTCTCTCTCTTTTTTTTATTCCATTACACGATTTCTTGAATGCCCTATTTGCTAATTAAGTTATCTAATATTTTGATTGGAATATCCTGAGCATTTTGCCAATGTTTCATGCCCTTCCTTGGCCCATGAACAGCCTAGTCTTTAAGTGTGCCCTGTAACTGTATCATCTGATTAAATTACACATCTATGGGTTTTCTTTTAAAAATCATCTATGAGACAAATGGGACTAAGAGTACATGTCACCGCATTTTAGTGAGTTATATACTTAGAAAGCAAAAAAAGAGTAACTAATGTTACTGAGGTGTGGTGAAATACTCAAAAGATCTACCGGGGTACAGTAGCTTTTGGGTTGGGAAACACTGCTATAGTCTATTAGTTCAAAATTAATGACAGCTAATGCAAATAGCCCTTGTGTAGCTTTCAAAAAATATCTTAAATAAACAAGAAGGTGGAGAAAATCCAGTATTCATATATGTAGAAGATATCAGACTATGGTAGAAAAAATCAAAGCTTTCCATTACCCAAGAAGAGAAATCACAACATAAACTAATTTCAATCCTTATTTCTATTGTGGCTTTTAAAAGTCAAGTTAGGAGTTTGTTTTTTACCCTGATTCTGATTTACACTAAAATCTATCTTATCAACACTTTCTTCTTTCATCACATTTGGTATACATTTATCGAAACAGGATTATAGTAAATTACCCATAGGAAACACAGAGTTAATACAATTTACCTTTACGCACACGATGGCAAATGCAAACTACACCTTGTTTAAGAATATGACAGTCTTTACACAAATATCCAGCAAGCACAGTAAACTGTGAAAGAAGGAATCATTTAAGGTAGGTAAAGGACTCACTGTTTTCTGCTAGAGGAATCTTCTTCCCAGATGTATCATACACCTCCAATCCATTCAGACCAACATAATAAAGATCACCCCACGTAGACAGCAGGTGAAGTTGAAAAACAACTGTTATGTTGCTAAGGGTCTTATCTTACTTATGTATATTGCAAAAGAAGACTAGAATATCAATAAGTATTTTCTCATTCTAATAAAAAGAATGACAATCTCATTTCTAAAAGATCTTATTAAATGATCAGTAAATATAAATAAAAATTTGCACTCAGATTAAAACGGCTTAGTAGATTACCGTGAACCTACGTGCAAAATTACATGAGACAGATCACTAATGAACGATAAAATGTACTTTACAAGGATACAGCCATGGGGCATCACAGGGGCTTCATAATCACTAAGTACGTCATCTGAACTCCTCCTCGGTCTAGAAGATGAAAATAGTATAATAGCATTATATGTTACACCAAAAAATTGTTGTTGAACATCTTAGCTGTTTGTGAAGTATTTAATTCAACTACAGACAAGAACAAGAGAGAACCTCCTACCAACACATACCCACAATTAACAGATTCATGTTATGAATAATACTATGGTTGGTTGTGACTTGCCTATCACAAATGCCGAGTTGGTTTTTTCACAATAACTTGACATATTTACTCTGAGAAATAAGGGGGCAATCTTAATTGGCCATGTTTAAATTTAAGTAGGAACTGAGCTATTGCTCAGAAAACTTAAAATATAAATTGGATCTTTTTTTATTCATCAGCTACATCAGAAGTATAAAATTCCACTAGACTGATGCCCAGGACTACTAAATTTTGAGTTTGGGCTACTGTGAATTCCATATGTACTAGCCAGGACTAGTGCATTTCTGCTTGCATGAAATGTGCACAAATATGTAAAATCCAGCTCCATATTTAATTACTTAAATATACAAAAATGCTACCTGTTCATATTTTTACCTTTCAAATCATATCTACTGCCACTGAAATATTTAATAAATTTCTATCCTGTTCATTGACAGTAGGTTAATCCACCATTGGTTGATAAACAAACACATATGGATGACTCATTTACTAACTTGTAAATCAAAATGTCTACCTATTTATTTTCATCATTACAGCACAATCTGATCTATTTTAATATTTTTCATAAGCTTAGAATAGTTATTTTTTAATGCAAAGTTTTATTGATACGAAAATAAACAGCTGTGTTTGGGATAAATTACTATGATTGCCCACCTGGAGCTCTGCACCCCTTTTTCCAAGATACAATGGCAAAAAGCAAAGTGTTCCAAGTGTTGGATTGCCACGTGATTATTTTTTTTGTGTATGAAGACTGGATAACTCTTTAAGCACAGGTTCGGTCCCAGGGACCGACCTCATAACCATTTTGTGCTTGTTATAGTTTTCATGCTATAACTTATAAATCAGTAAGCGAATGTTAACGAAATTTGGTAGATTATCAGTAAACATTACAATGCTTTCATACGAAAAATATCAATTTTTTTTTATTAAGTCTTAAGGTTTGTAAAGCAATGTTTTTCTCATGTCTTTTTTTTTTTTCTTCATGTTGCCTATCCAACATGCAAAGTAATTTTAATTTTAAGATTAAAAAGTACTTTTATATATCAGAAAATTTTCAAATTTCACATGCAAAATCTTTATAACATCTAGATAGTTATCTTAAGAAAAGATTGATATTTTTTCTGTAATTTTCAGTAAAGAATCTCTGTACGGGTTCGGAAGATTTGACAGATCTTGTAACCACCATAAAAATTAGGAAATAAATATAAATTAT